ATTCGACTCTGCTCAGATTCCAGCATATAGTTAACATCATAGGGATTTTGCCCCAAATTCTAATATAGAAATTGTGCTGATCTTATCCGGATCAGCAATTAAAATCATTGGATTTTAAATGATTCTAATTTTATTTAAATTTATCAGCAGTGGTAATTAAATCAATTAAAATTATTAGATTTTAATCAATTATAATTAGAGATTAAATTTCCTAATGAATTAAGAAATTATTTAAATTAATATGAATTTATATAAAACATCACAATTACAAATATGATATTAAAGACTTATAAATAGATAGCTCAAATCCTGTATTGAACCTCCAAAAAATTCTCTAATAATCAGATAATTATTATTAAAATGCCTAGTTATATCTCAAAAGTTTGGAAATTTTTTACAAAAAATGATAATGATATTATCTGTAATTTATGTGAAAATAAAAAGTATAGTAAAAAATGCTCAATATCAACATTGTATTGTTATTTACATAGTAAACATCCTACACAATATAATACTATTCAAGCATCTAAAAATATGCGTCATCATCATCCATACTCACATGAATAGCAACGCCCTATTACCGAATCTCTTTTAGAATAGATAGTTGTAGATTAGCAACCCCTTACAATGGTTGAAAATTTTCAATTTCAAAAATTCATAAACTTGCTAAATCTGAGATACCCAATACCAACCCGTCAATATTTTAAGGATGTCTTAATTGATAGTTTCAATAGATATCGGTTAAATTTGTGTAATGATATTGTAAATATATCTAGTATGATTTTACTTATAGCCAATATTTGGACTTCCAGTATAAGTGAATCATATCCTGGAATTACTCTCTATTATATTAATGATGATTGGGTATTAAAGCATTTCTTGCTTAATATTACCTTATTTACTGAAAGCCACACAGAAGTTAATATAGCAAGTACAATATCCTCTCTCCTAAATGAATTTGATCTAAATAATAAAATAATTGGATTAACTATGATACTATCGGATTTGTCGACCAAATTCATGTTTCAATCAAATTCGTAAATTTTGATCTATCATTGATAACTCATGATGTAGTAATTCAATCTTGATAATTTTGATACTATTTGAACTCTCTCACTGTAAGAATTTGAATAGTATCAAAATTATCAAGATTGAATTACTACATCGTGAGTTATCAATGATAGATTAAAATTTATGAATTTGATTGAAATACGAATTTGGTCGATATTTTTTTTATTTTTTTTGTTATTTTTTTATTTTTTTATTTTAGTTTTTTTCATTTTTATTTTATTTTTCAAGATAATGTATTAAACATGGTTACCTGCGGAAGTTATCTTATCCAAAGCCTTCAATTAAATTTTAATAATACTGTTTTTAAGCACTATCGTTGTACCGCACATGTTATCAACCTGGCAGTTGCACAAGGTTTAGAAGTTGCTAGCAGTATATTGCAAAAGTTGCGTAAATTTGTAAAAAAAGTAAAAAATTCATCATGATTAATTAATGAATTGCATGATATATACACAATTAAACAACAATCTTATCTTGCGTTTATTCTTGATAAGGATATAAGGTGGAGCTCTACCTATATGATAATTGAGCGACAACTAAGAATAAAAAAAATGGTACAACTTCTTGTAAATAATAATTTATCAGAGCTTGAAGATTTATATCTAAATTCGAATGAATGGAAGGAAATGAGTATAAATATTAATAAGTTATAAAATATAATCTTTTTCAAATATAAAAAAAAAAAAATTTACTATCCTTTATAGGATCTATTAACTATTCTGTGGCCAATATATAAAGCTACTGTTTTTCTGTCCTCAGCTTCTCATCCAACCATTAGTAACATTCAGGTAGCATTTACTGGCATGATTACTGAACTTGAAACCTATTTTAAACCTAATTCTAGTCATCCTGTTGCATCTGCTATTTATGAAAAATTAAAAGAATATTGGAATCATTATTTTAATATTCATTCGGCAATTCCTGCTGTTTTAGACTCTCGATCTAAACTGACTAATTTTTCATCAGATCAAGCTAAATTAGTAAAACAAAGACTCCAACTTATTATTCAACCATATTAATCTATTAACGACAATGATAATCAAACTTTATCTATTAATAAGTCATCTTCCAAGTCCTATTTTGATAAAGTCAGGGTACGTCATCAACAAAATAAGCCACCAAAAACTCCTTTAGAAGAATTAAACAATTATCTAGAACTTCCTCCAGAAGAAAATACTGATCCTTTATCATGGTGGAAAATATATCAAGCAAGATATCCAATTCTTTCAAGGCTTGCAAGGAACTATCTGACTATTCAAGCTACTAGCGTTCCCTGTGAGCAAGCATTTTCTTTAGCAGGCTTAACGATTAGCAAAACTAGAAATCACCTCTTACTAGAAACTGTATGGGCCTTTATTTGCTTAAAAAATTAGATCACAGAAGGCCTTGGTCTAGGTCAAACTGAAGATATGGTAGTAGAAAATACATAGCAATAAATAAAAAAAAAGTTAGCTTTTTTTTTGTATTTGTATTACCATATTACGTCGTATTACCGTATTATATCGTATTACTATATTATATCATATTACCGTATTTTAAATACCCTTACTATTACGTAGAATAATACTCCTTATTTCCTTTTTAGTAATTTCAGTATAACTGAATTATCTATCTATACATATAAATTATATATATGTTATAATTATCATTTGCCATAATAGATATTGATATGTATCAGTTCTATTATTAAACTTATTTTATTATAGATAATAAAATTTGTAGTATATGCTTAATTAAATCACAGTATTAGCGAAAACCTTCATTCATTAGAATTAACTAAGAAATTTTTTAAGAGAACTATTCATATTTGGAATTTATCGAATATTAGAAAACTAGACTATTATTATATTTCATATCAAGAAGTCAAGTTGTCAGGAAATTAATTTGATCGAGAAAAAAATATTTGTGAAAACTTTTATCAGCGAAATGAGCTATCAGAAATACTTATACCATAAAAATAAGGTTATTAGTATAAGATCAAAGAAATAATACTAAGTGGGTATTGGGAAATTATACAACAATGGATTACAGTTATTTTTATTATTCTAGATAGAAAAGTTCTATTTTAATTTCCTGTCTGTATTTGATACCTGATATGTATGTATGATTTTTTTTAGTAAGCCATTCTCTAATTATAAAGACTGGTTTTAGACCGGCCATTTATTATAAATTCAAATCAAAAGTTTAGACCATTAAGTTTGAATTTATAATAAAAGACTAGTTTATTATAACTTTAAACCAAAAGTTTAGACTATTGGGTTTGAATTCATTGGCATTAGACTGGCTATTTGTTATAAACCCAAACTGAAAATTTAGATTATTAAGTTGAATTTGTAATAAAAGACTAGTCTTAGACCAGTTATTTATTATAAATCCAAACTGAAAGTTTAGACCATTAGGTTTGAATTCATAATAAAAGATTGGCTTTAGACTGGCTATTTATTATAAACCTAGACCAAAAGTTTAGGTTATTAAGTTGAATTTATAATAAAGACTGGTCTTAGACTAGTCATTTATTATAAACACAGACCGAAAGTTTAGACCATTAAGTTGAATTCATAATAAAAGACTAATCTTAGACTAATTATTTATTATAAACACAGACTGAAAGTTTAGACTATTAAGCTGAATTCATAATAAAAGATTAGTCTTAGACTGGTTATTTATTATAAATCTAGACTGAAAGTTTAGACTATTAAGTTGTATTTACAATAAAAGATATCGGTTATTTATTATAAACACAGACTGAAAGTTTAGACCATAGTTGAATTTATAATAAAAGACTGGTCTTAGACTGATCATTTATTATAAACCTAGACCGAAAGTTTAAACTATAATAAAAGACTGGTCTTAGACTAGTCATTTATTATAAATTAAATTCATAATAAAAGATCGGTCTTAGATCAGTTTTTTAGACTAACAGTTTAGATTGGTGTAGTCTTATAAGTTGTCTTAAAACCAAACTGTAATCAAACCAAAAAAGACTAGACAGAACTGGGCTAAAAATAGACTGAGTTGGACCAAACTGGACTGTTAATATCCCTAGCCACAATTTTCTTCTATAAGTGCTAAAATTTAACAAAGATTACTCAACATATACTAATCAAATTCGATTAATATTTTTTTTATTTTAATTCTATGAGATTATAAAACTAAATAAAAAAAATTTTGATCAAATTTTATCAGTTATATACAAGTAATCTTGTTTAAAATTGAAGCATCTGTTAAAGAAAAGCTGTAGTTAAAATTTTTTTAGCTTTTAATAAATATATTTCAACAACTACCAATCCAAATTCGATTATTTTTTTAATTTTAATTCTACAATTTTGTTGAATTATAATAAAAAAATTTTCATTGAATTTGGTTTAGTAATATTAAAAAATTTTTATTTAAATTTTAAAAACATGATCATACCCATATATTTATCTGTATTTCTTTTAAGATTTTGATGATTTTTTTTAAACTTTAAACATACAGTTTTCAATAACTACTAAGTCAAACTCAATGAGTCTTTTTTTATTATAATTCTGCAAGCTTGTAGAATTGAATAAAAAAAATTTATTAAGTTTAATTACATAGCTATTAAGAAACTTTGCTAGAAAATATAAAAAATACCAAATTTTGTTTATAAATATTGATAATTATTCATTGATCAACATTATACATGTAGATAATCAAAACTTGCTTTGCTTTAGCTGACCTCTAAAAATAAAAAATTTTTTTGTTTACAAATTACAAATTTGGATAATCAATAATTTAATTAGCTAGATTAAAATATGGTGTTGAACACTAGTGGTGTGATATATCAATGTTTTATATTTAACATTTCTTTTGATTTTTTTTTTTTACCAAATAAGAAAATTTTCTGAAGTACTATTTTTCATATTTAGTATTGATATCAGTTTTTTTACTCTTCTAATTATTTATTTAATTAGGATCAAGTCTGGTAAACAATTCTCATTCTTACAAATTTCTTTTATTTTTTTTTTTTATAAATTTGGCATTTTTTGGGTCATTTATCTGATTATAGTCTTAAAATTTAGTTAGCAATTATTCTCACTCTCATATAACTGTTTCAATTTTTTTTTATGAATCTGACATTTTTTTGGACCATCTATTTGATTATGGCTTTAAATTTGGTAAACAATTCTTATTCTTATATATCTCTTTTGTTTTTTTTTTTATGAATTTGGCATTTTTTGGACTATTCATTCTTAAAATTCGATGAGCAATTATTTTCATTCTCATATATCTTTTTTATTTTTTATTTTTTTTTATGAATTTGGTATTTTTTGGGCTATCTATCTAATTAGGAATCTTGAACAATTCTTATTTTCACATATCTCTTGTATTTTTTTTTTATAAATCTGGTATTTTTTTGGCTATTTATCTTTAAATTTAGTAAGCACTTCTCATTTTTACATATCTCTTTCAGTTTTTTTTATAAATATGATATTTTTTGAGCTATTTATTTAATTATAGCTTTAAAATTTGGTGAGCAATTCTCATTCTTATATATCTATTTCATTTTTTTTTATGAATTTGGCTATTTATCTGATTATAGCTTTAAAATTTAGCAAGCAATTCTCACTCTCACATATCTCTTGTTTGATGAATTCAGTATTTTTTGAACCATCTACCTAATTAGAGATTTTAAGCAATTTTCACTCTTATATACTTCTTTTGTTTTTTATTATAAATTCAGCATTTTTTTCAAGTTATCCATCTGATTATAGCTTTAAAATTTGGTAAGCAATTCTTATTCTCACATATCTCTTCCAGTTTTTTTTTATAAATCTGGTGTTTTTCAGACTATTTATCTAATTATGACTTTAAAATTCGGTAAGAAATTCTCATTCTCACATATTTTTTTATTTTTTATTTTTATGAATTTGGTGTTTTTCAGATCATCTATCTAATTATAGCCTTAAAATTTAGTAAGCAATTCTCATTCTTACATATCTATTTCAATTTTTTTTTATAAATTTAGCATTTTTTGGGCTATTCATTTGATTATGGCTTTAAAATTTAGAAAGCAATTTTTACTCTTACATATTTCTTTGTTTTTTTTTATAAATCTGGTATTTTTTAGGCCATCCGTTTAATTAGAGATTTTAAGCAATTTTTACTCTCACATACCTCTTGTTTTTTTTTTTTTTTTATGAATCCGGCATTTTTCAGGCCATCTATCTGATTATAGTCTTAAAATTTAGTGAACAATTCTTATTCTAACATATCTTTTAGTTTTTTTTTTTATAAATCCGGTATTTTTCAGAGCTATTTATCTGATTATAGCTTTAAAATTTAGTAAGCAATTCTCACTCTCGCATATCTTTTTCGGTTTTTTTTTATGAATTTGGACTATTTATCTGATTATATGGTTCATGTTACTTATAGTCATCAAAGAAAATTCATATAAATTCAAATAGCTTCTTGTCTTTTAATTTAAGTGATATTAAAAATATAAACCGTAAAAATAATAAATTCGATACTGCTCTTTCAGATTTATGGCTTATTTTTTTTCTGTAATTTGTTATTTTGTAAAGTACTAAAGGTTAAAGTTAATTAATTTCTCAAATTTCGGAATAAATATAAAAATTTCTTAGGTGATATGAGTTTTTGACCAATAATAAGCAAGACATGTGACCAAATCAGATAAAAATTTCGGAATGATCTACATTTTTTGATGAGTATAGGTGACGTGAACCATAGCCTTAAAATTTGGTAAGCAATTCTTACTCTAATATATTTTTCAGTTTTTTTATAAATTTAGCATTTATTAGGCTATCTATTTAATTAAGGATCTTAAGCAATTTTTACTCTCACATATTCCTTGTTTTTTTTTTTTTTATAAATTTGGCATTTTTTGGACTATCTATTTGATTATAGACTTAAAATTTGGTGAGCAATTTTTATTCTGATTATAGCTTTAAAATTCAATAAGCAATTCTCACTTTCACATATCTTTTTCATTTTTTTTTATGAATCTGGCATTTTTCAAGCTATCTATTAAATAGAAATCTTAAGCAGTTTCACTCTTGCATTGTTTAAGCCATCTATCTGATTATAGTCTTGAAATTTGGTAAGCAATTCTCATTTTAACATATCTCTTAGTTTTTTTTTTATAAATTTAGTATTTTTCAAGCTATTTATCTGATTATAGCTTTAAAATTTGGTAAGCAATTCACACTTTTACATATCTCTTTTAGTTTTTTTTATGAATCCAGTATTTTTTGGACCATCTATCTGATTATAGCTTTAAATTTGGTAAGCAATTCTTACTCTAACATATTTCTCAGTTTTTTTTAATAAATCCAGCATTTATCAGGCTATCTGTTTAATTAGGGATTTTAAGCAATTCTCATTCTTACATATTCCTTGTTTGTTTTTTTTTATGAATTCAGCATTTTTCAGACCATCTATTTGATTA